ACTGGGAATAAGGATATTATTGAACACCATCTAATGGAAATAATAATAATAATAATAATAAATAAATAAATAAATAAATAACTTGATACTTTGATAGCCAGTCAATAAAAACTTGACATTTTGAACCATTAAACACAAGAAGCAACCAACCCCACATGTACATGTACATGTATACATTATGTCCATTCAGTTAGTTCATGTCCACTACTGCCCATACTACAAGTACTACATACCTTACAGAGGACATGGTCACTATTAGGCCAGAGCTCATAAGAGACCAGTAGTGATGAGAGGAGGGGCCCACTCACTGGAGGAGGGGGAGGGGCAGTATCAGTTCTACTGGAGCAGCTGCTACTGATGTCATACACTTTAATACACACTGACCCAAGACTAGAGGACACCTTGGATACTGCATGAACACCTGAAGAACCCAACTAGTGATAATAATAACAAATATTAATAAATAAATGTATTCATTAATGTATATGTATGCTTAAAATTAGAAGACATTTTGGGGTCAATTTTCGGAGAAAACCATGGGCTATAGCCTTGGGTATTTTTCAGATTTTTGACGTTTCCTTAAAATCACTGTAACTTGAAAAATTGATGTCAGAATCAGTTCAAACTTTATACACAGCATATGGGCATCAATATGTATTAGAAAATGTAATAAAAATTGGGAATGATTTCGGAGCCATTTTTTGGAAAAAAAACAATGGGCTATAGCCTTGGGTATTTTTCAGATTTTTGGTGTTTTCTTAAAATGGCCGTAACTTGAAAAATTGATGTCAGAATCAGTTCAAACTTTATACACAGCATATGGGCATCAATATGTATCAGAAAATGTAATAAAAATTGGGAATGATTTCGGAGCCATTTTTTGGAAAAAAAACCATGGGCTATAGCCTTGGGTATTTTTCAAAATTTTAGCATTTTCTTAAAATGGCCATAACTTGGAAAATTGAAGTCGGAATCAGCTCAAACTTGCTACACAGCATAAGGACATCAATATGTTGATATTATTTTTTACTGTTGCTTGGAGGAATGTGATCATGTTTTGTGTTGCTAGGAGACCAGAGAGAGGGGGGAGGGGCACTTCAGGATAAAGACACAACCTCTTAGCAGAAGGAACCAACAGAGAAGAATCCAACAACTAACAATAACAATAATAATAATAATAATAATAATAAAATTACACTATTCAATTTACCTTTCGTTTTAGTTTTGAAGTTCCTTGCGACACTAAAAAATAAATAATAAATTAATTGTGTTATTAATTAATTGAGTGGGCGTGTCTCACTTGATATGATCCCTGTCATGTGATCAAAGGCGCTACTGGTACTTATTCTAATTAACGACTCAATCTTAAAGAAAGACCGAGGGATCTGCTCATCAGAAACCAGCGGAAGATAAGGAGAGGGAAACACTCTCAACATGTAATAGGACTCTGTGACTCCGCCCACTGCCACACCCCCTTCAATAGAGACTGATACCAGTAGGTAGGTGACGTGGTCCAGTTTAATGAAGACGGGGGAGGGTACCTCAGGGAGGGGAGAGAGGAGGGGGAGGGAGAAGGAGTGAGAGAGACCAACCGAAGAAGAGAGACAAGTCAACTGGAACAAGTGTAACTGACAGCTAATGGAGGAATGATAATGTAATAGTTAATAATAATTAATAATACATGTACATGTATATTCTGTACAAGTACATGTACTTTTGTACATGTACATTTGTACAT